TACATGTTAAGTTCCTGAAGTTGCTCTTGATATGTTTAATCCCCCAGACCTTTCATCGTTTTTGTGATCCATCTCTGGACTCATTCTATACTATCAATATCTTTTTGTAAGTGAGATCTCCAGAACTGGACGTAGTATTCTAAATGAGGTCTAAAGATCTATATAGGGGAATGATGACAGCCTTCCTCCTGCTGGTGACCCCTCTAGTGATGCATCCTAGAATTCTATTCGCTTTCCCCACTGCCTGGCCACACTGTTTGCTCATTCTGCAATCTTTTGAAATAAGTATCACCAAATCCTTTTCCTCTGAAGTGCTGGACAGATACCCTGAAGAAGTCACGTGATTACCGTAACGTAACGCGTTGATACGCCGTGACAGGACGTCTGGTGTGCGGTGACATCACTTCCGGCGCGGGCGCCATATTGGGACACCAGGAAATTACGCAGTACACCCATTACATGAGGTGAAAGGCTGATTGGAATTCATTACTATGTGAGTGGGCATTCTCCAGCGTTTTTACATAAATAAATTACTGATTTACACTATGGAGGATCTTTTTTGTTTCTATTATGATCCTCTGATGTGAGCGGCATTGCAAGACTATCCAGTGGTTGGAGGGAGTTCAGGAGGAATATTGGCACTACAGATGTTATCCAGTGCGGTCATCTTTCTAATAACGTGGTAGTTCCTGTGAGGAACGTGGTTGATCCATTAAGCGAGCTGGCCCATGTGGTCACTGTAAGGAGGTGAGGGGGCACTTAGGCCATTAAGGATTTATCACGATTGCTGGCACGAGTTTCACTTTCACGATTTGCTGTTTTATTCGTGTTCACAAGAGTTCGTCAGAGTGGACTTTTTTACGGACTGAACATCATTTATGTATCACATGTTGTTTGTCTTGCTGTGATTAAGTGTTTTTGTAACACACATCACTTTGTACTAGTTTTTCCCCATTAGGGGTTGCACCTTTATATTTTTATAAGTTTATTGCTTTCCCCTGAGAAGGGAGTCACTTTATTCACTGATTATCATATTTGTGTTTTGATCCCCCAGCTGGGGATAGGGGGGGGTTTTGCCTGTGTATCCACTTTACAGGTTTTATGGTAATATTCACTTGGTTTGTGTGCCACTTGTGATTTATTTATCATATTTTGTTATGTTTGTGTTATGCACAGTTATTTAGTTATTTATTAGCGCCACACCATTTAGTTATCTATTTGTGTTTCACTTATTGGTACAAGGAGTGGGTGTGAGCAGCTTAGGTTAGGGATTATCCATTGAAGCGCAGGAGGATTTTTATATATTTTTACCTGCATTGTTATGCTGCTAATTTTATGTTGGGACACTATTTTTAGATCACTGGTCCTATGGGTAAATACGCTAGGTTCATCATAGCTAATTCAACTGTCTTACAGTTCTCATATTGCCTATATGCCTGTCCTAAGTTCCTGTCCTTTGTAATGTGACAAATACTTTTCCTCATTGTTTATCTTTTTTTGTTTGTTTTTTTCTATTGATTTTTTTCTAATAACTCTTTCTACCAAAACTATTCAAGTTCTAATAATTTAACATATTTTCTCAAAATCTTTTACTGTTACTTTTTACAAGGAGCTAGAGGTGGATGCAATATTGTAACTTAGATTTGATAGGAATCTGTTTGCTTAAGAATGATTTTTATACAGTTGTAACATTTATATTCCATTGGGTTTTTTGTTTTGTTTTTTTTTAGCTTGCATCTCATTTTGCACTTGAAATGTTCTCCTCTTCGCCTCCTATTCACATAGTTGAGCATACAGTTTGCATATGTTCATATTTTTTTATTTCATATGGTATGTGGTTCATGGTCAAATATCTTTATAATGGCATTTGTTTGAAGTAGTTTTAGAAAATTTGGAATTGTATATACATATCATGTGTAAGTATAGATAGAGATTCACTTTTTTTTATAAATTCTTCTACATTTGTTTTTTAGTCCTGATGAAGGCTGGGTTGGATTGGCCCCCAAAACACATTTCCCATATAACTATTTTGTGAATCATTAAAGTTGTAAGTCTTCCCATACGCTGTTACAGCTATGTTAGACCATATTGCTTAGCCTTCTGATAAGCTACCACATCCCTTGGACCCAATAGGGGTCTTGCTGATACTCCTGATATATGTGAGGACTTAACACCTTCCCACCCAGCCTATAGCAGATCGATGGCCGGGCAGGCCACTCGCCATTGTGACTGCGCGTTATATGACGTCTTGTCAAAACGAGATACTCACGCGGCCACGTAGTGGCACAATCTGTCACTGGCTGTGTCGACAGGACACAGCCGATGACATATCACTACACCGGCCTGTTGCCAGTGTCATGTGACCAATCACAGCAGATCACGTCAATTGTATACAATGGATGGCTTCCTGTCATTATTATACAGTATTTATATAGCGCCAGAAAGGTTTGCTCAGCGCTGTACATTATAGTGGGGGACAGAACATGAGACAATACAGTAACAAGACAATACACGAGGGGTTCGAGGGCCCTGCTCTTTCGAGCTTACAATCTAGGAGGGAGGTCATGCCATCCATTCTATACAATTATGTTGTTAGCTTGACTAGTCAAGGCAGTCACATGATAGGGACAGGGCCAATCACAGCCCATCTGTATCATGTGATCAGCTTTGCCCAATCACAGCTAATCACAACAAAAGATTGAATGAATCAGTTTCATTCATAACAATAACTGCAAATATCAATGAAATACATTGGTATTATCAAAGTGTTAAAAAAAAAAATTTTTTAAAAATCCTGATCACTTGCCCAGAGTAGTTCAATGTTACTATGGTAACATTGTATTGCTTTGGTCACAGTGTGCTGAAAAATAAAATAGTAAAAAAAAAAAAAAGAAAAAAATAGAATCATTTGAAAAAAAAAAAAATCATTTTTTCACCAAAGAAATGTAGCAGAATACATTTTGACCTAAATTTATGAAGAAATGTTATATATTTGCAAAATTATATAACAGAAATGAAGAAAAGTACTTTTTTTTTCAAAAGTTTCAGGTGTTTTTTGTTTTATTTAGCAGTGGTGATTAAATACCACCAAAAGAAAGCTCTATTTGTGTGAAAAAAATGATAAAAATGTCATATGAGTACAGTGCTGCATGACCGCGCAATTGTCATTCAAAGTGCAACAGCGCTGAAAACTGAAAATTGTCCTGGGCAGGAAAGAGGTATAAGTGCCCGGTATTGAAGTGGTTAATAAAGAAAAGTCCCATACTAAACAGCAATCAATCTGTCATTACCTTGCATTGATCTATTGCAATGCTTTGTGCTAGTTTACTGGATGAAATCAATAGGGAGGGCTTAAGAAGTACAGGCAAAGCTCTTTTGGCTGTACTTCTCCTATGGATCACAGGAGTGTAGTTTGTTCTGCACTACTGTGACCAGTTTTCAGCTGACAATCACCACACTCTGCTCAGAACGGCTGTGAGAACTCAGCGATCAGCGGTCATGTGATTGCTGAGTTCTCACACTTAGGTGGATGCAGCATCGGTCTGATAGCTCTAAGTATGATTTTTTTAAAAATCAAAATGCCATACTTCTCTTTTAAAGTGTCACCATTTTTCTCTTGATGTCAGAAAAACTAGTCATAGGTGATTCATGCTGATGTCAAAGGAACAAGGCAGCAGACAAAAATTACATGAGTGCTCTGGATTGAGACAAGTACACACTATAAAAGAGATATGCTTTGTTCATATTTCAGGTCTGAAAAGTTCAACGTTTCAAGAATATGGCATATGCAGTCAAGGTGTGTCTCAATTAAAAAAGAAAAACTGTGCAGCTTTGTAAAATATTATACATTTTATACCTGAAAGCCCTTCCATACACCTGGCTGAAAAACTCTCAGTTAGTAATTCCCATATCCTGCTTGGGTATTTAAAACCAATGGAAGCTCACTTCCAGCATTACAGGAGTGAAAAATCAATGGTTTTCTCATCCTGGCAATAAGGCAGGACATGGGGATTGCTGACCAGATTTTTTTTTTTTAGCTGGGCTTCCAGGGGGGGTCAAAATGGTCTATAGGTATGACAAATTATTGAACATTCTACAAAGCCGCACGGTGTTGTTGTAATACTTAATGAGACCTCGATTGCATAATCTATTTTCTGAAAAAGGTAACTTGACCTTTAAAGCAAAATCCTTTAACCGGAATGCTAATCCATAAAGAAGCATTATAGCAGTTAATTACTTAAGTGTGTCCCTCATAATAAATTGTCACTCATAGTAGTTGGGTGTGACATAGCCTTGATGCTATATAAGTCTAGCACATAGTAAAGTAAAACATTGATCTAAGGGGTGTCCATAAGAGGCCTTCCTTAATAAGGTAACATCCAAAATCTTGTAGTGCATGCTCTTAAAAAGGACTTTTAAATGTAAAAGTTAGGAAATGCTAAATGGATATCATTATATTCATCAATTGCCAACTTGGTTTCCATTTTGCACAAGCTCTGGGGTTGCCCTCCTTTGCATGGCTTCAGTACCTAGCATGCATGCAGATCATCATTTTATACTATTTCGCTCCTCCTAAAAATTCTATTTGCAAAAATTCATCTAAACTTAGTACTTTCTGTCTCTGAAAAATTTCTGGCTCTGCAAACTTATTCCTGGCCTGTGCCTCAGAAGTATGAAGCGCAAAAAAAAAAAAAAACCTTAAAAAAAAAAAAACTACAGTACACCAAGCACATAGATGATTTTACAATGGGTTCACTCTGTTCAAAGAGCAGGCAGGTGACACAGAAAGCTGAAATGGTCAACAGGTGCCATTGGCCTAGTCACATAGAGTGTCAGAGAATGGTGAATCACAGGAAGGGTTAAGCAGTGTTACAGTAAACAATTTGCATACATTCATTTCAACTATGTATCTAAGCAGGAGTTCTCCTTTAAATTTTTTTAAATGCAAGAAAGTTGTATTTCTCAAAGTCACAGGCCCCAATAAATCTCAAATGGGATACCTTGAAGCCCGCCCAGCGGCTCTCGTCCTCTGGAAGAGCTTTTCACTGAATGAAGTTCTATAACTTAATGGTCTCCGTCTGTAGCCATATTTCAAACATGCCAACCAAACCCAAAGATGGAGTAAAGAAGAGATATCAGAAAGCGAAGGAAATGTTAGTTTTGCAGAAGGAAAAGAGAAGAGATAGATTAAAATTAAAAAAAGAATCATTTAATGAAAGAGAAATTAAAATGGGAATGTTAAACAACTGAGAGTTTCAAATGTTGCAGCACTGCATGCTAAGTGCCCACAATAAATGGTTCAAAAAAAGAGACTCAAAGAATATGTGCACTCTTCTGTTATAAACAAATAAAGTATGTTGCTCCTCATAACTGGATCTCAAAAACCCTAACATAATTATTTCTATACAGCACATGCCTCCTGTGAAGTATAAGAAAGCATGTAGGTTTTTCAGAATGTATGAAAGAAAAAAAATACTTAGAAACAGGGACCCTTTAGATGAGCCCGGTTGGCCAATCACAATTTAGCCAAGGACATACGCAATTCCAAAGCTATTATGCTGAGCCTTGTCAGCCAATCACAAGCTAGTTTAGTGGTCATTCACATGTCAAAGATGATTTTTTCAGTATATAATAACATATAAATTGATGAGAGATTCTGCAGACTCAAAAAAAATAAATATTTAAAGAATATTTTAAGGGAGCAAATAAGTTAAAAAAAACTGTACATATTCTTTAAGTACTGAAGTCCACAAAAGTCCAAATTAAAGTCACTACAGGCTTATCCTGAGTCATACATACCTGTTGTGCTTTTCCTGCTGTAGTAACTGTGCTGCTATTTTCCTCAGATCTGTAACTTCTTTTATTTCATCTTCTTCCTCCGCCTCTACTAATAGCTGCTCTTTTTGAAGCCTGAAGGGAAAACAAAGCTCAAAGCTTGACAAATTTACATATTCCCACAATTATCATCATCTGCCTCATCAAAAGAAAATGGGTCTTGTTGGGGTGGGGTGCTTGAGAAAGAAGGGGGTGTTCTCCTCGTTTCTGGTACTGACAACCAGCAAACAGAATGGAGAAATTTTCACTAAACAGGGATACAAACATCAATAAAAGGCATTTGACATGAGTTGGGCTTTGGTGTTTTATATTAAGAATTAACTTTCCAATTCAAGCTGCATTTTTTTTCTAAACCTGACAAAATTCATATGCCTATCTGTATACAGAATGCCAGAGAAATCTAAACTGTTTTGAGGGATACAATGCTTTTCCTGGAAAGCCTCCACTTTTACCCCGTCCCACCGCGTGTATACATATATGTGGATTCACAGAAGCAGATCTTTATTCATGGAGCTGCATATGTGTGTACTCTCTCACTGTGGGCCCCAGGCACCGTACTAATGATCGGGAACCAGGAAGTCTATAAAACTAAATTATAAGGCTATAGTTCTGCTTATATGCAGCATGGTTACAATATTTCAGGTTAAGGCCCTTGATAAATGCAGAAAGCAAAATAGGTGACTCAGAAAATTAAACTGCCAAGGAAGTTAAAAGGGAAGGTCAAAAGGGCTGTCAGTTGGTTATCAACTCAAAAGCCACTTCTTCTAAACTACTGCCCCAGAATGAACTAAACCACATACCTTTGCTCTTCTTCCCATTCATCATTCTCTTCTGCCTTCTCCAATTTGTCACAAAGCTTTCCACGTTCCTAAAAAACCAATGGCGCAAATCTTATGATTGGGCATTTTATAACGGTGATGGCAATGCTCATCAACACTGCGTTAGGGTTACCTTAATATAAGAAACAAAAGGACCGCTAAGCTGTACATCACCATGATCTGACAGAGTAGCATCTTCACCATTGGGATCATATTCATAGCCATCCTGATCTTGTCCTGTTATGTTGACGGAGAGAGCAAAGTTACTTATTTGCATTTATTTTTTTGCAGCTTCATTTTTTCCTGCTAGCATTTTTCTATTTAACTAGGTAAAAAACACAGACACCCCCACGCCATTACTATAAATTATATACAGTTTTCTCAGGAAGGAGAAGAACTTTCTACATGAAAATAAGAAAGCCAGATACCAATTTATTAAAACTGGCAGTTTTAGTTGGGGGTTTCAATGCTAGAATGTAGTATGCAAATATTGGACACCAACACCACTTATAAGTCATGATTCATCAAGCAGCAATATAAACAAAGAGCTAAATAGGTCCTCTCTCCTGTGGCAGAAGAACTCACGGGAGCGGTGAAGAGACCAGTGCTCATGCACGTGCAGTAGGGTGACCAGCTGTGAAGCCGCTAGGAGTTAACAGTTGGTTTGCTGGCTTCCATTAGTACGCATGCCAGCACTGACTAAAAAATTTTTTTTAAGAAACTGAAGATCCCCTTTAAAAATGGAACTTTACCCATAACAATGTAATAAAAAATAATGTTCTTTAGCAGGGAACATACATTCCTTATTAATAATTATGCTTCCAAAATCAGTGTGTGCTGTAAATTGCCTCCAGCACTGTTCTTGTTTCTTCTTGCTGGAGGCTGGCATTTTGCTGAAGCCCAGAGCCCCTAAGTAGCAGTAAATCATAAAGTGGAACTATACCCATCGACTTAAGGGTTTCAAAAAACAGTTACATTCCTGGAATGCTGGGATTGCCAACTGTAACATTTGCTTGTGTCCTTAACCAAACTGTCAAACTATCAAATGGCTGGTGTCATAACTGATCACATGTGCAGCACAATGGTAGTTGCAGATCAAACAGGATCAGCTTCCTTAGCTGTGGATAGGAGGGTTTCATTTTACTTTAAGGCTGTCAGCAGATCAGCCTCTACAAATTCAGCAGTGTTTAAAAATGCCTAAAAATGGACAGCAACCGAAAATGTACAGAGCAGGGTGAGGCAGTGTATTAGTGGATTTTAGACAGTATAGTCACTTATTTTACATACCTGCAAAAGGGGACAGTCTGAAGTGATCTAACAGGACTTTATTTTCTGACTAAAGTTCCACTTTAACCAAGCTTAGCTTTTTAATAGAGCAAAAAACAGCAGTGAGGATGGAGAGATGGGCAAGTATTCATTCCTTTCGGAAGTCTCCGATAGGTTCCAAAGGGGGCTTCTGAAGCACTAAAAGGATGAAACTCAAACCTCACAGAAATAGAGGTATTGACAGTTTGGAGCAGAATGGCAAGAGTGGACATCTGAGCCTTGATGGTACAAAGAGCCAAATGGTGGTTCAGCTGTCTAGAAAGAAAGAACCTGTCCCATAGAGAAACTTCTGTGGTGAAAGCCACTAGACCCACACCAAGCAAAGTATGCTTTCCACTTCTGATGAAATACCTTTGGAAAGTTGACTTCCAACAAATAAGCACGACAGGGACAAAGTGATTCTACGATCCCTCAGAAAAAGAGTTTCAGCAGCCAAGCCAGTAAAGCCAGCGGCCAAAAAAGTACAGTGGTCTAGCAAAATTCACTGTGCATCTTCAAGAATTCTTACCAGGCCCACATAACATGCCCTCCTGGGTCAATCCAGGGCTTTTAGAACTAACAGAATGCCTTCCCATCTCGATCCGGCAAAGCAGCTGAGGAAGAAAAGGTATAGATTGTTGGATACTGATCCCACAGAACCAGCAAAATATACAAACCTTCCTTCCTTAGAATATCTGCCCTCAGAATCTTTCAGAAAATCAGAAGGAATAATTTGCCCAATGTCAGAGAAGGATTCAGAAGACACCAGGTCAGGTACTACCAAACAAAATAAGTCGGTACAGAGACTGGAACGACTTGTCCCATGACGACAGATGTCGCATTGTAGTTTTCTTGAATGGAACTGGGCAAACTCCATTGCCTTGAAAGACACCATCAGACTCATGATGGACTGGAGTACACAAACCTAAGACCAGAAAGTCCAAAGTTTTTCTTGGGGAAGGAATACCCCAAGCCTGGAAGTGTCAAGGACCAGTTCCAAGCAATGGGTCAGGGTCATGACTTTTGAAGACTCAGGATCTATTTGAACCTCTTCAACATTTCCACCTTCAGACACACTTTGTCCTCCAGAGGCCTCGCTGACTGCTACCTCAACAGGAAGTCATCGAAGTATCCCACAATCAGGATTATTTGAGCGCGTAACAGAACCAACACTGAAGCTGGCACCTTAGTGAACACCCTAGGTGCAAAAGACAGACGAAGTTAAGGGCCATAAACTGGTAGTGCAGGAGGGTTTCATTGCAAATTGCAGGAAGCATCAATGCACTTGAAACATGGGTACATGCAAGTAAGGATCCTTTGTGTCCACTAAGCCCAGAAATACCTCTTCATGCAGAGAAGCAATAATGAATCTTCTGGGTTCCATCTGTAATTTTAAGACAAAAAAATTTAAACATTTAAAGCTCAGAATGGAGCAAATACTCCCCCTCGACTTGGGGGCAGTGAACAAGTTGGAGTAAAGCCTCTGAAAGTGTTTTGCAGAAAAGACTAGTGCGATGACTCCCTGATCCAAGAGACCAGACAGTAAACTATGGAGATTGGCCAGACACAAAAAGGACACTGAAAGACTGGTGGGTAGAAAGCGAAAACGGCAGCAGAGAATGAAACTCAAGTTTGTAACGCTGGGATACCACCTCTTACCCACAAACTATCCAGAATGCAAGACCTGCAAGCATCCTCAAAGGCCAGTAGATGTCCCCCCAATATATAAAGGAGGATTGGGGCTGCTCTGTGCAAAGCCACTACACAGAGCAGGTAAGTATAACATGTTTGTTATATTTTTTTTTGTGCTGACCCAGGGAAGGCCTACACTTTTTTGTTTTCCAATGGCCAAACTTGTAGGCAGCAGTATCACCCAAAGGGACAAAGACTTCCTGTCTCCCTCATAGGATGAGAAAGAAATTGTGATTGTTAGTGGAGGTACTGACATATTTACCCTATGTTTGAACTGTCTGCCCACCAAATGCAGAAAAAAAATTAATTTACTAGAGGATAGTGGATGACACAAGTGAAGGCTCTATCTTAACCAGTTGCCTACGAGGAACTTTTACCCTCTTCCCGCCCAGGCCAATTTTCAGCTTTCAGTGCTGTTGCAATTTGAATGGCAATTACGCCGTCATACAACACTGTACCCATATGAAATTTTTATCATTTTTTTTCAGACAAATACAGCTCTCTTTTGGTAGTATTTAATTACCACTGTGTGTTTTATTTTTTGCTAAACAAACAAAAAAAAAAAAATCAAACATTTTGAAAAAAAAAAAATGTTTTTTCTTAGTGTGTATTATATATTATAAAGCTTTGCAGACAGGTAATTTTTCTCCTTCACTGATGTACGCTGATATGGCATTGATAGGCAGCACTGATGGGCACTGTTGGGACTTCACTGATAATCAGAGCCCTGATTATCATTGTAAATGTCCCCTTTCACACTTGCCGATTATCAGCAGCACTTTCCTCATGTTGTGACAGCACCATGGAAAGTACTGTGGATAACCGACAAGTGTGTTTACAACGTGATCAGCTGTGACTGGACACAGATGATCATGTGGTAAAGGGCCGCTGTGATTGGCCCTTTACAATGATTTGTGAAGAGCTGTGTCCGAAGGACACAGTGATAACAGAGAGTACCAGGCACACGCTGCAGCGGGCGCAGTTCTGGGGGGACATCAATAGATGCCCTCTCAGAACAGGATGCAAGTGATTAACATTTGTTGTTCAAAAAGGAACTGTAAACTACAAGGGTATAGTAGAAAAACTGAATTATTCCAGTCAAACTGTAACCTTTAAAAATATAGAAGTGGTACAGTGGCTAAATGGTTAGCACTTCTGCCTGGCAGTACTAGGGTCATTGGTTCGAATCCCAGCCACGGCACCACCTGCCTGGAGTTTGCATGTTCTCCCTGTGACTGCGTGGGTTTCCTCCAGGTACTCCGGTTTCCTCCCACACTCCAAAGACATGCTGGTAGGTTAATTGGCTCCAGTGGAAGAGGACTGCTGGATGCTGACTGAGACTTATTGGACACACTATTTCTGATTTCTCCATAATTATTCTGCCAGTAAAAAACTATTAAAAAATATGGTTACCTTTATGGGACTCCTGTTTATTCCCTATTATGTGATTGTCATTTTTCAGAGCCTGATCTCTTGATTCCGATACCTGAGAGTGAAGGCTGATTGTATCATCGTCTGAAGGCTGAAAATAGAGTAAAAGCTTGTATCAATGAGGATTCCCTGGATTAACCAGTCTCCCACCAAACCCACTGCAACCAGTTTACAAAGGTTACCGGAAACAGATCTGTTGCCATAACATGTAATAACTACCAAAATAAAATACCAAATACAATATTAGCACTTGCTATGAAGAAAAAAACTTTATAAGCAGGCTTCATGCAGAGTTCACAGAAACTTACTTCTGTCGTTGAAAGACGTTTATCCCCATTATCGCTACCAATCCCAGAGTCAGGACCATGATTTTTACTTGGGTAAAAGTCTTCAATGCTGCAACAAGACAAGCAACAGGCATTTGTAATAAAACTAATGAAACATTTTTAAACAGGATATACACATTTTCTGATAAGCACTCCGCAGTTTAAACATACTTAAACCCATCAGTAATATACACTTTTACATGGTAAAATGTATACCAGATATTAGGTAACACATCTTCTAACTTTGTACTAAACACTATGATCATGTGTGCACTGGCATTTGGTGACAAGGACACACTGCAGACATGGAGACAGTGCTCTGCATGGTAACCTTTTTTTCTGAGCAGTAATGAAATGTCAAGAAGTAACATTTGGCTTCATTCTATCAGCCACAGTTCAGTGCACTGCAACACAATGGATTGCATTGCACCAAACTGCACTTAAAAAAAAAAAAAAAAATGTACTGCATGTTGTATTTTATTTTTTTAGCGCACACCACTATATCGCAGTTGTGTGAACTGAGTAGACTGTCAACAAGGACAATGGGCAAACCTGCCCAATGCACTGCCAAAACACCTGGTATGAACAGGCTCTACTAAAGAAGGCTCATGACAAAATAAAATAAAATAAAAAAAAAAAATTAGATTTTTGACCTACCAATAAAAACTGGTTTTACTACAGGACATGGGATATTTAGTCTATACCATTAGTTATATGTAACTATTTTCAGGTGATTTAACACTTGAACACTGGGCAATAAAAAACTGCTGGGACATCCCCTGTATAACATCTCCCACTCCCAGCTAGCCTCAGGTTTGTAGCAAGCAATAGGGAGATCATAAAAACAGAGGAGAGGTGTCTGCTTCCCATACTGTACTCCGAGAAACATTAAGTCAGAGCACAGGATCTTACAGTACGAAGCACAGGATTTTTAGTCTTTACCCATGGGACGTCCAAAAGCAGTCCAACAGAGGGATGGGTAATACAGCAAAACAATGCCAAGAGACCCCTTAATACACGCATCAAGAAGAGCTCAATAGGACTCAGAGAACAGCTTGTAGAACCTTACATCTGAAATTGGTGGCAGTCTTGTAAATATGAGAAATAGTTGCTTGATGCTGAAAATGTCATGAAGTACTAAGAGTTTGCCTTAATAAGTGAGGAACCCTAACCATCACACTATAAGCTCAAAAAAGGCCTTCTCTAATCTACCTAGCAGTGAGAAACATGGAATCCTCTGGGAAAACAGAGGGAATCTGACAGACTAAAAAAGGCCGTTAATGAGAGATTGATTCTAACAGCGTGTACCACGTCATGACAGTGAAGAGAAATGGAATGTTTCAGAACAGGACATAGAGAAGGAAGAATAATGTCCTAGTTAAGGCGGAAAAAAAGAGACCACAATTAAGCCTCAGGACAACCTTGTCCTTGTGTAACACTAAAAAAGACTCATTACAGGATAAGCCCACTAACTCAGAGACCCGTCACAGATGTTGTAGCATCGAGAAAGTAATATACCCCTATCTGTCCTAACAGTTTGAAGGATGGATTCTGAAGATCCAAAAGAATCAAGTTAAAGTCCCACAGAGACAGAAAGGAGTGTACAAAGGTAAAGATGTGTGCAGCACCCTATACTAAGGCCTTAAAGAAGAATTATGGTCATCGATTAATAAAAATTTAAAAGTTACCAGCTAAAGGTTTTGTCCCGTACTATACAACTAAGAAAAAAAATTAAGCACAGTAACTCGCTAAACATAATCACACATATTCAAATAAGTCCTGTAAACTACATATAATTACTTTACCCCACAATCTTCTGAAAAAAAGAAATCTGAGCAAGATAGCATGATTATAAGCTGTGGGGCAAACAGTTGCAAGTGCATTTCACAAGCCTGCAAGCCCAAAATGTTTTCAGGCACTGTGAATTATAGATGGAGGCAACAAGGATGAAACATGAAGGTGGACCAAGGGTCTCCCAGAGCTGAACATGTAATACGCAGGAGGGAGTAAATCTCTCCAACAGCATCTATGCATGTAAAACAACTTTCATATAACTCTGCACTAACCAAATTCTACTGTGACATCAGGGCACTACCCTAACCAAAAGGGCAGAATAGCCCAAAGAACTTATGGTATGTTTAGCTGTCATATCCAACACATGGAAAATGACACCCATAGCTTTTAGATTTTCATTATGTTTCAGCAAAATTACAACAAAGGTAGATGAATACATGTCAGATGCAACTGCAGATAGCAGGAGAGATTCAGTTTAAGAGCATGCATTAGTCCTCCTGTGTTCTGAGCTTAGTGAGGACATGTACTCTGCAGATGGAAAAACTTAGATGCAAAAAACCAAGCCCCAAGAAAGGTTATCAATCAGCAAAACATGACAAGTCAAGTTTTTTAGGTATGTGTGGTTTGCAATAGGAATTCTGTGGCAGAGTAATAAGTAAAGGAGGAAAACATGTAGTATAAGACAACACAATAGCATAAGGGAAAAGGTGAAAAAGAGGGTTGGAGATGTGGATGAGAGTGAGAAAAAGGGGGGGAAATAACAAGGTTAAGGGTGACAGGAGTAAGGTGGGCGGAGGGCTTCAGAATCCCTCGAATCCTTCCGTCCAGGTTAAAATGTTGGAAAGACGTAAAGCCGGCCATACATGGATAGAAACGCGGCCAGTTAGGCAGGGACCAAATTAATTTCGATCCATGTATGGGCAGGTTGATTGTATCCAAGTTGATCCATTGTTTGACTTGGGTGCAACAAGCCTGTCAGATTTTTCTGCATGCGATTAGTACCCAGTGGATATAGCCGCTAGCAGTCATAGTACCATAGAGCCAGGCAGGCTCTCCACGTCCCCCCACCGGAAGAATATAATAGTACTGTGGGAGGCAGTCAGTGTTTATGGGGGAATCAAGCAATTTTCTTTCCTTCCACCATGGCATGTCAGGTGGCAATGCATAGTTGTACTGGAAACCCTTGGCTCCATACAGTAAAGAGTTACTTGTCAGTATCTGGTCGTATGCTGGTGTGAATTGCACAAAATTATTTATTCCAAGATTGTAGCCTTACTTTAACCAGTTCAAGTCCAGACACTTTCACCCCCTTCCTGTCCAGGCCAATTTTCAGCTTTCAGTGCTATCACACTTTTAAAGACAATTGCGCGATCATGCAACACTGTACCCATATGAATTTTTTAGCATTTTTTGAGACAGATAAAACTTTATTTCGGCGGTATTTATTCACCACTGGTATTTTTATTTTTTTTTTGCTATATAAATGAAAATGTCCATTTTTAAAAAAAAAAGTGTTTTTCTTATACAATTTTGCAAATAAATAATATTTCTTCATAAATCTTGGCCAAAATGTATTCAGTTATATTTTTTGTAAAAAAAAAAAAAAAAAAATAACCCAAATTAGTTTATAATCAAAAATTATATTTCTAAATTTTTTTTACATTTTTATTTTATTTTTTATTTTTATTTATTTATATTTTTTTTTACATACAGTCAACCTAGCAGTAGTGTCACCATAGTGAAACTGTACTACTTGTGGGGGGTGATGAAGATTTTTTTTTTCACACGGATTGCTTTTACGCCCATAAAAGGCTGTAAAAGCAATCATTTCTCCTTCTCTCTGGCTGCATTCTTGCAGCCACTGAGAAATACTGTGTGCTATGATTGGTCACAGCTTGTCACATGGTACAAGGCTGTTGTGAACAGCCTTGTACCATGTGATATCTGATCATTCACAGATTTCACACATAGTAAGCAATGGAAGGAAGTGACATCTTGCTTACTACTCTTTATGTGATCACTGATTGGCCAATCAGTGATCACATGATCGGGACCTCACACAGAGGTCTCGTACAACGATCAGTGTTCCACTGTGTCCAGAAGACACAGCGGCACCAGACCATGGTGCTACGCACTCCCAGGGAGCGCGCACAAGCAGGGAAGTGGGGAGGACGTTTATAAACGGCCACCTGCCCCTGCACTGCTCCCACCCGGCCATTTATATACATGGGCCGGACGGGAAGTGGTTAAAATGTGAACCCAGCACAGGTTTTAGTAGCATCTGATGGAAATAGTCAATCAATGTGGTTCAGCCCTCTGTTTTTTGACTGTGTAAAGGGAAACCAAATGTAACAGCTGCCAAGTTTAAGTCAATAATGTACAGGACTGATATTCATTACAATGCAAAGTCAGCAAATAAACATGGGTATGGTATACCTGTCTGTGAGAGGTTGTGAGGGAAGTCTTTTCACTAACGAGGGCAAGTCCAGTGAATCGGGCTTCTTTTCTGTCCTGCAGCATGCATGAATATTCAAAAACTTGAATATATGCACCTTTCCTTTCAGACAAATCTGTATTAAATAAAAAAAAGAAGAAAGAAAGAAATACTACTACATCAATACAAATAACAACAAAGAGGTGTATACATAAACAAATGATACATATGAACACAAAGCACAGATCAATGGATCAAATTCAACAAGGTAACTGTACAGAAATTTTTTCCCCTTGGCTGTATTTCTAAATGAGTTTGAAAAAAGAGGCATTTCAACGGTGGCACAACTCCCAGAATGAGAGAACCTGATTTGCTGCTAAAATTATTTCTTCACAGTTTTTCATAAATAAGGTCTAAACAATTTTAAAGCAGACCCTAAGGGGGTTGTTTATTTAAAGGAAAACAGACTGTTCATTATTTGCAAGTGAATTGGGGAGTTTGTCCCAGAACTTAGTGAATGAGGTGTAGTTTTACTTTGCAAAGAATACCCAATCAATTGTAAGGAAAATAAAATAAAATAGGCATTTTTGCTTGCACATGATTGGATTATGAAAGTCAGCATTCATTCAATAAGCAAAAGACACTGCAAAGTGGACCACCTACCTGCCTTTAGTAAATCAACCCCAAGGGCTTCATTCAATCTATCTTGGTGATGCCATTAAAACATTTAGAACCCCATAATTCCACATTCACTGGTACAGCCCTCTGACAAACCAATGTTTTTGCACACCTTCACTTCTGGTTGCAAGCATTGGATCTGTCCAAGAATCAAATCAGTGCCCCGCCCTTCACAAAGAAATTGTGTCAGAGAAGCAGCTAGTTTGTGTAGGTGGAGGCCCACGTCAGTGAAGAGATATTTCGGGGTGATTACATGGTTTTCACATGGCATCAGCAAGCGGGAGAGCTGAACCAAAAGTTAATTTCTGACTCAATATCCACTGTAGTAGGGAAAAATAAAAGAAGCCTAGGAAAATAAGGGCTTGTGTACGTGAGCACTTATAAAACTGCCTTTGAAACACTTTTTGCGCTAATGAAAGGCCCCGGTAATATCAAAGAAATTAGAAATGAAAGGGTACAGTACTGGTTATGGTTTCAGGTTGTGGTGGATATTTATGAATGCAGCTTGCCCTATTTAAGGATGCACTATTTTTTTTTTTATTTCAATGGACAAAAGAGAAAACCTCCAAGACCTCTTCCACACAGGGTGGACTCTGCTTGCTCAGCAGGGGACTTGTCTGCTGATCCCCACTGAGCAGGCAGATGGCTGGTCCATGTCTGCTCCGTTTAAGCACAGTGGACACAGACACAGCCCTCTCTGCTGTATGGGCGGTCAATTGTAAACAGGCCGCCTGTCCATTTACACCCAACTGCCATCCGATCCAAACCGCTAGATGGAAGGAGAACGAATCCCCATCCAACTGTTTTTAGCAGATCGGATTGGTTGTAGGAGGGTGTAAACGGACAAATGTTGCTGTTCCATAGAGGAGAATGGAGGGTCCAATTGGGTCCGCCTAAAAAAATTACATGAAGACCTGATTGGTCTGCTCATGTGAAACAGGCCTAATGTGCAAGATACAGGTTTGTCTTGTTTCACTAGAATACATGGGTTTGAGATTTCACAGAGTGATGCTTTCATATGTGACAACTTGTGACATCCCTGCACTGTTTCAAGCTGCTCGAGTTGACCGTCATACTAACAGAGTTCAGTGGTAACACTCTAATAACCAGTTCACAACTGTTGCAGAACAAGACCTACAGTCCATATTCAGAACAGGGAACCTGTTAAACCAAGTTTTGTTGTACGTTGCTTGCAAAACATTTTAATGTAGTGTTGCCTTGAACAGAATGAGAAATACTGCTTAGTCTTTTGGAAAAATGTTTTAAATTATCTAAGTTTATCCCACGTATTATCGAAGATTAAAACAGATAATTACTACCTCAGCACACATTACAATTCATTTAGATTTAATGCAAAACCAAATCATCCAATTTTCATACTTGGACCTCATGTCACTCACAGCATAATGTAATATAAAGCGAATATAAAAGCTAGCAGTCCATACAACCTGATTTTAACATGTAATGCTAGCTTTTATGTATACACCAAACTTGCCCCAAACACAATCATGTATTCTCCAATAGGGACACTGTAAACAGCTAATCACACGTGCGGCATGTATTTAGCCTATTCTATGAAGAGGGACATTTCCCTATAAGCTTTAAAAGCAACATGAAAGAAAATTAGGGAAAAAATATGACAAATTTAAAGCAACAATAACCCATAAGCATTTGGGTGACAATTTCATGTCAGAAATGTAGATGAGATCTGCCTTTCAGGAAACCACATAACAAACAATTAATGTGTTGCCAGGAAAACAAAGCCAAAGTCAATGATGCACTATGACCATTTAAACTGCGAGTAAATACTGCCTGTGAGTCATATCATATTTAATACAAGCACATTTCCCACATATCCAAGCAATACAATAGGGGACAATTCAAATTATGAGATACTTAAAAAAACAGCAAAATGGCATAAAATGAAGAGTTGCGCAAAAATACGAAGCACAAACAAGGCTTCAAATCCTAAGCAGCAGGCCCCTAAATCACTAATTTACAATGCCTCAGTGATCAAAGTTTATTGATACAAAGGCTCACATACAGTATTAAAAGTAGACTGTATTATATCATGATATCCATCGTATTGCAATTTCCCATACTGGCTAGCTGTTTCTGTGGGTGTCCCATAGCTGTCAGATTGTGGCCAAAAACAGCCAGGTCAGAACCCATGTGCTGCCAATAAACATAAAGAGGTGGGCACAAATATGTTTTCATTTACAAGGCAGCAAATAGTTTTTTGCCACAATTAACCACTTGCCATCCTGATGATTTACCCCCCTTACTGACCAGGCCTCTTTTTGCTATTTGGCGCTGCACTATTTCAACTGGTAATTGCGTGATCATGCAATGCTGTACCCAAATGAAATCTACGTCCTTTTTTCACACAAATAGAGCTTTTTTTCGGTGGTATTTGATTACCTGTGCATTTTTTATTTTTTCGCATTATAAACAAAAAAACAATATTTTTTACTTTCGGCTATAAAAAAATATATAGTAGACTCAATGTTAGCCATAAATATAGGCCAAAATTTATTCTGCTCCATGTTTTTGGTAAAATAAAAATCCCAATAAGTATATATTGATTGCTTTGTGTGAAAGTTATAGCGTCTACAAACTATGGTATAGATCAGGGGTGGGCAAACTTTTTGACTTGAGGGCCGCAATGGGTTCATATATTGGACCCGGGGGCCGGACCAAGAGTAGATGAATGATGTGTATGTGTCATCCATAGTAAGTATAGTAATATTCCCCCATAGTAAGCATAGTAACTCATCCCCCATATAGTAATTAATCCCCCCATAGTAATTCATCCCCCATAGTAATTCATCCCCCATAGTAATTCATCCCCCATAGTAATTCATCCCCCCATAGTAATTCATCCCTCATATAGTAATTCATCCCCCATATAGTAATTCATCCCCCATATAGTAATTCACCCCCCTATAGTAATTCACCACCCCATAGTAATTCACCCCCCCTAGTAATTCACCCCCCCTATAGTAATTCATCCCCCATATAGTAATTCATCCCCCATAGTAATCCATCCCCCATATAGTAATTCATCCCTCATATAGTAATTCATCCCCCATATAGTAATTCATCCCCCATAGTAATTCATCCCCCATAGTAATTTCATCCCCCCATATAGTAATTCATCCCCCATATAGTAATTCATCCCCCCCTATAGTAATTCATCCCCCCTATAGTAATTCATCCCCCCTAGCAATTCATCCCCCATAGCAATTCATCCCCCATAGTAATTCATCCCCATAGTAATTCATCCCCCATAGCAATTCATCCCCCATAGCAATTCATCCCCCATAGCAATTCATCCCCCATATAGTAATTAATCCCCCACATAGTAATTCATCCCCCACATAGTAATTCATCCCCCCTATAGTAATTCATCCCCCATAGTAATTCATCCCCCATATAGTAATTCATCCCCCATATAGTAATTCATCCCCCATATAGTAATTCATCCCCCATATTAAGTCCCCAAGTCCCCCCTGTGTCAATTCACTTACCTTTGCTCCGCGCGTTCCTCTCGTCGTGTTCCCGCGCCCGTTCCGGTGTAGCATGAAAATCTGTCTCCTATGAGGATCTGTCCCCCTCGACGTATCTGTGCATGTGCCAGTTTCAGGCATTAGCAGCCGATCGGCGATCTCCGGCACATGCGCAGATACGTCGAGGGGACAGATCCTCATAGGAGACAGATTTTCATGCTACACGGCGGACTGTGAGAGGAGCCTAGCGGGAGCCTAGCTCCGCGGGCCGGATTAAAAGGTCCGCCGGGCCGTAGTTTGCCCATTGCTGGTATAGATACTGCAATTTACGCCATTTTTGCTACACAGCGCTGCGTTAGTTTAACTGCCAATTGCACTGTCATGTAGTACTGAAATTGAATGCAAGGCAGCCAGAAAAATTAATGAGGGAGTCGTCAACACAGATGTTTTGTGGGGAGTATAGACATCTGCAAATTTTTGGTTAAGGTGATTTATGAGGGGCTGAATTTTGTGGAGTTTGTCATCCTCAGGGTGACCCTTAATTTGACCGTGTGTTGTTGTTGAAAACTTTAAATTTGGAAACTGTAATGGGTTTCCATGCAAATGGTCTGGCAAGGTTTGAATTTGGGTTGGCGGGGATAAACTGCTGTGCATATAAATTGCTATGATCCACAATCAATACATACAGATCTTCCACGAAAAACACCTCCAAAAAATCAAGGGGAGTAGTTAAATTTACTATTTCCACCTGATTTCTGGATTGTACAATGAATGGGGGGGGAAGTACGGGAGCTGCAGAATTTGTGGGCTGTCAATCGGGATTTGCAAGCACATCCGGAAGGATACTATGGGCTCCTGTGGGCAAATTCTTGGTGGTTGCGGGACAAAACTTGTGCTCACCACCGCACCAGCTTGTACTGCACTTATGGGACTCGCAACGTCACCCAGTGAT